AGGGGGAGGTATTGGTGGTCTTTACCATGAGGCAAAGATTTCCTCATAGAAACATCCTGGTGTTGATGCTTTTCATATAGGAAGCAACAACCTGGACCACTGACTGATTCCACATCGCTTTTGCATTGCTTCTCCTTACTTTCATGAAGAATCTGTTTTTCTACTACATTTAATCTGATGGACTATTTTGAGCCTATTGGCTGGATCTGCTTAGCCAGATTGCTGAGGGAATATTTGCTCTTCTGACATTCATTATCGAATCAGGCTCACCTATCTCTGAATCCCTTGAAAGGGAGAAATGAAGCAGAAAAAAAACAGTATTATCTTGGCAGACTTCGTTTGCTTTCATTTTGTACATAAACTGGCACTCATGTATTTGATCATGTTTCTGTTGTAATTTGATTTAAATATACCAAAACCAGACAAAATTAGAAGAAAAAAATTTCAAACAAAACGTATTCAGGTATTTCAGCTAAACCCCTTGAAGGGCAAAAAGTGCCCAGGAAACAAACAAAAGCTCTAGATCAACTCAATGTGAGCTGACTTCCTGAGGGGATTTCATTGGTTGGAAAGGTTCACTTTAAGGACCAATACAAGGGGTTAACTCAACTCTCTGGTTGATTCCTGTTTCCAAACAGAGAATTCTCTCGTTCTGAAAGAATTATTTATAAAATAAAAATGTTGACAAGCCCTTCACAGCTGACTAGCTGGGATTCATGTCTGTTGGGATTATACTGGTAGAGATGAGCTTGTGTTATTTTGGTTATTTAAAACTCGCTGAAGTGGTTCATTGTAAGACGCTGAAGAGGCTGTTTTTCATTTTGCTAATAGGAAATAGAGGAAAAAAGGCTTTCTGTTTAGAAGCAGCTCTTTTCAGTGAAACAGAATGTTAGTTTCTACTAATGCTCCGTTCTCAAGTGGCAAATTAATTTTTCTATCTTAGGCATTTTGGGGATTTGTGAAAACATAGGGGTAGCATTTCAAAAGGGCATGTGTGTGCACCCAACCTGTGCACGTGCAAGCTGTGATGCTTGTGTGCTCCGATGTGTATACAAATCAGGATTGTGTGTATGCTAGAGACTCAGTGAAAGCTGCTGTCCATAGCAGATACATACAGATTAACTTTAAAAAAGAAAAGAAACGCACGAAGGCATCAGTCTAACAAAGCATATAGGCAGGGTGTGAGTAGCCTATTGGCTTCAGTTGGCTTAAATTTATGCACTGGGTTAAGTGCTTTGCTAGACTAAGGCCTGAAGTAGCTATTATGGAAAAGTCTAAGTTTCATAGAATCATAGAATATCAGGGTTGGAAGGGACCTCAGGAGGTCACCTAGTCCAACCCCCTGCTCAAAGCAGGACCAATCCCCAACTAAATCATCCCAGCCATTGTTTTGTTATGCAGAACAATGTGAATGTTTACTCATAACAGCTTCTCCTATGTTACTAGATGTTGCATTTCTCAGTGAATGTGGTCACAGGAACCTGATAACTTTTAGTGAAGTTTCTTTTTGAACTGGGCTCTCTTTCACATCCAGGATCCATTCCTGATACTTCTAAAACCAATCTAAACATGCGCTGCAGTTTAATGTGGAATCCCAGTTATTGCTACTGGAAATCAAATAAGGATTTAGTAACATAGCAGAATTCCATACCACATCCTCTCTAGCATATTGACCTTAATATTGAGTACGCAGTCACTACATTGTGACTAGGTATTTTATGTCTCATTGTCCAAGCAATGTTTTATTAGATTAAGTCAAATCGGAAGAATAGCTCCATATTTGTCATGGTAGTGAATCACATGTTCAGTCAAGCACTGCATTAAATTAAGTAGTTTAAATGTTCAGAGTATGAATTGAATTATAACATAGAGGCCTCTCTCACATCACTGTTTAAATTTTCATGTAGAATTACTAGACATTAGTTCCCTGTATCCCTTATGGCTGAATACAGTACGTTTCATCATGCTATGTATCAGTATTCCACTGGTACAAAGCATACTTTAAAATTTGGAAACAAGAAGAATTTAATAATGCAGTGGACAGCAATAGGTTATAAACCCTTGTACCACTACTAGAGATTTCTGGTAGCCCAACTCTGTAAAGCGAATATAATCTAATTTGGTGCTCTCAGTCAGTCCCAGTGGATAGGTGTCCACCCCACAAAACACTGATGTTTCTTTGTTGACAATCTCAGCATGAAGAGCAAGGACTGAATGGCCATGAAGACTGAACTACTTTTCACCCTAAAAAGCAGTTATCCTTCCAAAGTAAGTCTTAAGGAATATTGGCATGCTGGTGTGGAAGATCTTTTCCTACTGTACTAGTCTATGGTTAAGCAGAGAACATTAGCCTAGGGCTCTTAATGTATCCCACTTAATGAAACATGGACACAGCCACAATAAATAAAATGGGGAAGAAATGCAGAGGATGCTCCAGTGGGGGTGGGGGGAGGTGTATTTGAGAACAGAACATTTGCAAAGAGAGTTTGAGTCACTTCCAGCTCTTGGGGAGAAGGAGGAAAAGCAACTTAACACCTGCCTAATAATATTGCATCTAATCATCTCCAAGCCTAACTGGAATTGTTCTTTTCCAAGGAATACAAAGAGCATGGGGATGCTTACACAGTACTTGTGAAGGTTGAAGGCAGTAGCCCTAGATACTGAACTCATGACTGAGCTACAATACCCACTCTCATATGTATAATAACCCACTATCACTAAATGTTCAGCTTTCCTCTATGTGTCACTAGGTGCTCGTCTCTCCTTGTGCTGTGAGGTACGTCGACCCTGCCCACCTTGTGCCCCCCAGTGCACAATTCCATCCTCCTTTGGGCCACTCAGGGCACAATGACAGGTTTCAGAGTAACAGCCGTGTTAGTCTGTATTCGCAAAAAGAAAAGGAGTACTTGTAGCACCTTAGAGACTAACCAATTTATTTGAGCATAAGCTTTCGTGAGCTACAGCTCACTTCATCGGATGCATACTGTGGAAAGTATAGAAGATCTTTTTATACACACAAAGAATGTAAAAATGGGTGTTTACCACTACAAAAGGTTTTCTCTCCCCCCCACCCCACTCTCCTGCTGGTAATAGCTTATCTAAAGTGATCACTCTCCTTACAATGTGTATGATAATCAAGTTGGGCCATTTCCAGCACAAATCCAGGTTTTCTCCCCCCCCCCCCCGCCCCAAACCCACTCTCCTGTTGAATGTGTATGATAATCAAGGTGGGCCATTTCCAGCACAAATCCAGGGTTTAACAAGAACGTCTGGGGGGGAGGGTAGGAAAAAACAAGGGGAAATAGGCTTGAATAGAGACTGGGAGTGGCTAAGTCATTATGCAAGGTAACCTATTTCCCCTTGTTTTTTCCTACCCTCACTCCCCCCCCCAGACGTTCTTGTTAAACCCTGGATTTGTGCTGGAAATGGCCCACCTTGATTATCATACACATTGTAAGGAGAGTGATCACTTTAGATAAGCTATTACCAGCAGGAGAGTGGGGTAGGGGGAGAGAAAACCTTTTGTAGTGGTAAACACCCATTTTTTCATGCTTTGTGTGTATAAAAAGATCTTCTATACTTTCCACAGTATGCATCCGATGAAGTGAGCTGTAGCTCACAAAAGCTTATGCTCAAGTAAATTGGTTAGTCTCTAAGGTGCCACAAGTACTCCTTTTCTTTTTTCAGGGCATAACACCATGTTCCTCATTTCTTCTTTTTTCTCTATCCCTTCATGCAGCCCGGGTACGCAGCTTCCCTCACCCCACCCCGCCCCCCAAGCTAGATTTGGCAAGATGGGGAGTTGCAAATCCACCACTTTTCCTCCAGACAACCTAATATAGAATAGCCCCCCCTCCGGGGACTAACATCCTTTGAATCCCCTTGATTATTATTTTAAGGGGGGAGGCCAATTTAAGCTTCTGATATTTCAGAAAAGCACCTAGGACTTGTGTTAAATTTATGCTTAGAGCAGCTGGTCGAGTTTTAAATCCAACCAGCAATTATTTAGCCTGGAAAAGAATGATTAAAACTGGATTATATTTAAGTTTGTGTTTCTGTTTCCATCTGTGATGGAATCAAAACCCATTCAGTTTTATGATCATTCACTGTTTCATTGGGATGACTTGTTTCCACACACATCCTCCCCCATGGCTTAGAAATGTCTTGGTTAAGAATGACCTTGTTCAAAACTTTCTCTCATGGTTTAACTTTCATGGTAGGAACACTTTCAAGCAATGCGATAAACAACTTATGCTGCATCTGAGCTGAAAACTCCTGTGCTGAGAAGATATAGAGTCAGATTTTAAATGTTAGAGACATGCCCCTGTGCACATGCATTCACAATACCCAATTTATATGTGCAAATGCCTGATACTGGTACATCATGATCTGTTAGGTGCATGACTGACCATGTGTGAATTCATATGCTGAATTTATGCAAACAGAGCTGGTATTTCCATACCTAAATCTTTCTCTCATTTGTCTATCTAGGTTTTACCATCTTACTTATCACTGTAATATCTAAGTGCCAAATGTAAATGTGTGATTATGCACATCTCACTTTGAAAAATCTTATCTTAAAAAGTAAACTCTTTTGCATGATTTTTTGTATATATATATATATAATATACATAATACATATATAATACACACACACACACAACCAAACAAAATAAAACCCAGCTCCCAAGAAGCTCAAATCAAAATACAAACTTGGAATGTTTTTACACAACAAAAAACAAATTGTTCCCATCACACAAGCTGTGTATAAAAACCTATTGCTAAGCTATAGCAACAAATGCATTGTGGGATAAGTGTAATTGCTGTATACCATAGTGATCATGATCAATCAAAATAATAATAAAAAGTTCTGTTATTGATTTATTTAGCTTGAACGGCTAATATAGCAATGCCCAGTTTTTGTGTTCTGAATTAACCCTTTGCAGCCCAGGGTGTGAAACTTATTTTTGCTGAAGCATCCAATTCGACTGACTATCTAGAAAATGCCAAATGCTGTAAGCATTAAGTGGGAGTCTTAAACCTTTGTACAGAGAAAGTAGCTGCCCAAAGTTTGCATTTGTACAAAAGAAATTTCCACCTGTCCCATTGGTGATATGTCTGCCCAGGAGCAACTTTGTAAAAAGTTCTATGATCATCTGAGCATGGTCGTGTTCATCAAATATCTCTCCTCCACACCTGAATTAATTAACAAAGAGAACATTCAGAAATCTGTGTCTTTATGTGCGCACCAAGTACAATCGATGCTGTGAGTGCATCTGTAATATGCCTAAAGAAAAGGAGTACTTGTGGCACCTTAGAGACTAACCAATTTATTTGAGCATGAGCTTTCGTGAGCTGTAATATGCCTGTAGCAGACAGTGCCTTCAATTTCATTAATAAAAATTGCCACTGTCAAAACATTACATTTAGTTGTGTAGCAGATATGGATGATGATAATGATAAATCCTCATTTCTCCAGGCACCAGAAGATACATTTGACAAGGTTTTGATTCTCTTCAATTTATGCTTTTAATACATTTTCTAGCTTCTTACCAACACTGCCTCATAAGTTTGGCTTGTATTCCTTCATGTTCCATGCATTTCTTGTGATTACATTTGTACTGCTCATGCCAATGAATTCAACTGGGTTTGTGCTGGAGTGTGTTCAAGATGGAGTTCACATCCTCCTAATCCAAGGTCTCCTTCATGAATGTTTTCCTTGCCTGGAGTCTGGGGTGAGTCTATTCTGGCCTGTGCCAGCACTGGAACAGGATTGGGGGCTTCATAATTTATAGTCAGTTCATCATTATTCACGATACAGTCCCTGTCATCATCCTTCAGCGGCTCCTGTGTTTTAAAAAGGAAAAGGGACCCTAATCAGTGACAATTTCCCAGAAATGGAAGGGATGGGATTCCATTTTAATATTTTCAGTGTTAATGATTAATATCAACCATTAATTACAGTGACCTCATTTTGATTTTTATCAGTTTGAAGCAAGGGGCTGCCTACCATTTCCTCCTTCTGCGTACCATTGGAAACCAGGTCTTAGGTATCTAAAGTAGGTCACCCGAAAAGCCACAGTACTAATACTTAGTAGCCACTTTTGAAAATGGGGCTGTACTTTTTCACCCCTATCCGCCACTATGAAATGACAGCCATATAGTTTCTAGTCTTGTTAAAGGCTTGATCCAAAGCCCTTTGAAATCAAATAATGTAAACGCTTCCATTAATTACAATGGGCTTTACATCAGGTTCTAAATGCTATTCACAAAGTTTAATGCACACACTATATATATATACTTACTCCATATGCTTTAGGGCTAGTTAGCAGTCTGGCAATGGGATTACACCATTCAGGTAATGTTGTTGTAAGCGGTGGACCAGCATGGGTTAAAATGGGCTTCAAATACCTGTGAAGTCTGTCAAGGAATATCTCCCATAATATGTATATTGGTGCTAACAAGTTTCTCTATTACAACAGATAATTTTATAATAAAGCAGAAGATAATCATGCAATTAAAGGAAAATCTAGGAGATGGCTTGTGTTTAGACACCCATCAGTCCATTCATTCAGCCATCATCCACTTTAGATTAGTGTGTCTACAAAGCCATTTGATGTTCAGAGTCTGTCAAATATGGCACCATACCAGCTTAGCTAGACACACCATGACATAAAAGAGACAAGAGGGAATGGGAAGAGAGGAACGTATAATAAGAGCTCCATGTTTAGCATTTTCAGCTAATGTCTGTGATATTGGGAAAATGTTTCCTACGCAAAAGGATATACAAAACAATTTAAGATTTAGCTGTATGAGCCATATTGCATAAAAGATCCAGTGACAGGGAGTTTTCTGTTTTATTGAAATCGCACACTCAGTGTTTTATAAAATCAATGCCTCTCTTCACCAGGCAAATGTATTTAATCAAACATTAACAGCTTCTTTATAGCTGGGGAGTAAGCATAATTTGTTTTCTGGAATGCTTTATTTTCAGTATTCAACATATTCATTTTACACTTCATACATCAATGCTCCTTTATATGAAATTATGTAAGTAAGATTGTAACAGGCGTTTTCTATTGTATTGCTCCTGTCTTTCCAATCTTTTCATCCAAAAGTGCTTTATTGAGATAAAAGAAAAACCTGCTCATCTTTAGCAATTATATCGTCCTTATATCTGCCACTAAAGATTTTCCCAAGAGCACCTCAGGTTGACTTATCTCCTCTGCTACTTTTGCTCACAGTGTAATTTTCACTGTTTTATGGGAAGCCAGTTGTAGGCTATTTTCTCTGCTGAGGAAAATTTCCTCTTCTGGATTGCTGGCTATTTTCTTTTGTTAAAGATTCTAGGAAAGGAAGGGAAAGGAAAATAAAAGGAACAGATGTAAAGCTACTGTCCATGAGCTCTATAGCAGTATCATGGAAGTACAGAACAAACCAGTAACAAAGTGTGTTTAGGTTAACTCTTTCAGTGCCTCAACTTCATTAGTTATTTGTTTAATGCTTATAGGGTATTTAACACTATACAACACACAAAGCACAGGCACTCTATGTCCTGAAGAACTTACAGGCTAAATAAAGCAGACGTAGAGATTTAGTCATAGATTAATTGATTTCTAAGGCCAGAATGAACCATTCGATCATCTGGTCTGCTCTCCTGTATATCACAGGCCGTAAAATTTAACCCAGTTACCCCCATCTAATATGTTCACCTAAATCATATATGTCAGAAAGGCACCTAGTCTTGATTTGATTATATCAAGAGATGGAGAAGCTCTGATGAAGAACATTGGGAAGCTCAAAGGAAGGGGATGGCTAGGATTTTTTATTTAAATGTTAAAATTGTTGACTTGCTTCTTAGGGACATCACGGATCAAGGGCTTTATTAGGGATTAGCTTGGCTTCCCAGAATAGGAATATCCTGTGCTTATGGCGCAGCATGGAAAAATTCATGGGGCCATTTATGTGTGAAACAGATGAACGGGGTATTGAGACTGACATCAGTGAGGGAGAGGATTAGACTGACACACTAAAAGACAAAGTTGGAGATGGAGGCTGAGGAGGACAGTAGGGCCTTGAATGGGAGGACAAGAAGTTTAAACCAGATAATCAATAAGTTAAGCAGCTGTCCAATCAGTTATATTCTGTTCGATTTAGCTCTTGTTAAAGTCAATGGACGCAGCCTCATTGATGTCAGTGGTAGTTGCCTTTTGAAAGTAAGGTAGGCTAAAAGGTCTCTGGGAGTTGTTATACATTTTGTAGGTATTTAATTATAAACAGCATATCTCATGCTACTAGTACTATTATTTTCTTATTTTGTGAAAGGAGATTCTTCTTGAGAAATAGTCAACATGGTTTTTGTAAAGGGAAATCATGCCTCACCAATCTACTAGAATTCTTTGAGGGGATCAACAAGCAGGCGGAAAAAGGAGATCCAGTGGATATAGTGTATTCAGATTTTCAGAAAGCCTTTGACAAGGTCCCTCACCAAAGGCTCTTAAGCAAAATAAGCAGTCAAGGGATAAGAGGGAAGGTCCTCTCATGGATTGGTAACTGGTTAAAAGATAGGAAACAAAGGGTAGGAATAAATGGTCAGTTTTCAGAATGGAGAGAGGTAAATAGTGGTGTCCCCCAGGGATCTGTACTGGGCCCAGTCCTATTTAACATATTCATAAACGATCTGGAAAAAGGGGTAAACAGTGAGGTGGCAAAATTTGCAGATGATACAAAATTACTCAAGATAGTTAAGTCCCGGGCAGATTGCAAAAGGATCTCACAAAACTGGGTGACTGGGTAACAAAATGGCAGATGAAATTTAATGTTGATAAATTCTAAGTAATGCACATTGGCAAACATAATCCTAACTATACATATACAATGATGGGGTCTAAATTAGCTGTTACCACTCAAGAAAGAAATCTTGGAGTCATTGTGGATAGGTCTCTGAAATCTTCCACTCAATGTGCAGCAGCAGTCAAAAAAGCAAACAGAATGTTCGGAATCAGCAAGAAAGGGATAGATAATAAGACAGAAAATATCACATTGCCTCTATATAAATCCATGGCATGCCCACACCTTGAATACTGTGTGCAGATGTGGTTGCCCCCTCTCAAAAAAGATATATTGGAATTGGAAAAGGTTCAGAAAAGGGCAACAAAAATGATTAGGGGTATAGAATGGGTTCCATATGAGGAGAGATTAGTAAGACTGGGACTTTTCAGCTTGGAAAAGAGGCGACTAAGGGGGGATATGATAGAGGTCTATGCAATCATGAGTGGTAGAGAGAAAGTAAATAAGGAAGTGTAAGTTATTCCTTCTCATAATACAAGAACAAGAGGCCACCAAATGAAATTAATAGATAGCAGGTTTAAAACAAACACAAGAAAGTATTTTCTTCACGCAATGCACTGTCAACCTCTGGAACTCCTTGCCAGAGGGTGTTGTGAAGGCCAATACTATAATGGGGTTCAAAAGGGAGCTAGATAGATTCATGGAAGATAGGTCCATCAATGGCTATTAGCCAGGATGGGCAGGAATGGTGTCCCTAGCCTCTGTTTGCCAGAAGCTGGGATTGGGTGACAGGGCATGGATCACTTGATGATAACCTGTCTGTTCGTTCCCTTTGGGGCACCTGCTGTTGGCCACTGTCAGAGGGCAAGATACTGGGCTCGATGGACCTTTGGTCTGACCCAGTATGGCTGTTCTTATGTTCTTCCTTTAGCAGGATGATCTGAGTTCTGGCCTCACTAGGAAGTTTTGAGAAGCCATGTTGTGAAGCATAGTAACAATTTGAATGTCCTTATTTGCTGTGTGATTGACTGTAGACTTTGAGAGGTAATTTATATTTTGCCTACAACAGCAAAATCCTTGGAGATAGAAAAGGTGGACACAGCTCTGAAATACCTGTTGGACAGCTCCTGTGGACCTGTAAAAATACAGGCCAGAGTGAGCTATGGTTTTAAATTGAGTTTGGATTTTAGCATGAGTGATAGGCCTAGAGCCTGCGATTAAAATGAATGAAATTATGAAAAAGAAAAATTGTTTGAGTTTAACTTGTATTGGCTAGGGTAGAATTGGTAAGGGTGCTTTGTCAGAGCTTTACTGTACCCCTCTGGAGTCACACCATGATGGGGATGTGTCTCCTGGGCCTGCACCTGTTTGAAGTATTCTCCATATGTGTATATTTTGGATGTAACCAACGTTAAGTGGCCTTTGAGACTAACAAAGGAATGCTTGTGTGGAAACTGTGTCATGGCAAACTTTAATCTTATTAGAAAAATTATTTCCAGCAGAGCCCTACAAAATCCTGTATATGGCCAGAGGGAGAGCTTCACCTTTTCCCTTATCAAAGAGTGATGGCTCTGGGTCTCGAGGCAAACACAGTTCCCCCAAAGACAAACAAGGTATCATTTTATGCAACAGTTATTATTAAAACACCCCATAAAATATGGAACACTTTTTCATACCATTCAAATCCGCTTTCAGCCATTTTTCAGGAAAAATGCAGTTTTCCATGGCAAAGGCAAGCCAGGCTTAAACATACATAAGCCAGGCATAAACAGGTTAATAGTGTAGCATTTCATATGCAAGACATTGCTGCATTATATAATGAAATTTATGTCAGAGGCACAAATCTCTGGAAGTGAATGTCAACACTCCCTGGAGCTTTGCTTTGCTCTTTTGCAGTGTCTCTAATGTTTCTGGTTTGCAGCTTTTTATTCTACAGTGTCTCCTTTGTTAGTACTCCTATTTAAAGCAGACTTTGTAAGTTACGATTATGTCACAGAACTGAGATAAAAGCATAGGTGCTCTCTTTTATATCGATGAGGAAACACTAGTAGGAGACATGCAGAGAGAAAGATATCATTCCTACATGTTCAGAAATGTGGTTTCCTTAAGTAAAAGTTATCTCAGTTCCTTGTTAGATTTTCACTTTGGCAAAGAAAGCAATTTTGATATATGGTATGTGCAGGGCTACAGAAGAAGCTGTTCCATTCTGAAAATGTGTGTGTATTTGTATGTGTGTCACTTGTAAGCCAACATACTTTGTGCTGAGCATATGGCTGAGAGCTGGTGCATGGCTGAGCTGCTGCCAACAGCTGATTTGGACTGTTTGGTCACTGTTCTGTGAGAGCCTGTGTGTGCCCAACTAAGCTGGAGAGGCAATAGCAGGTGACCTCTGGGGGTATAAATACATGCATGGCAGATGTGTCCCAGAAAGGAAAAGGGAAATTTTTAGACAAGATTTCCTTCTGGTATTTGTAGCAAGGAATTCTCTTCAGAGGCTGGGGACCTGTCTACATTGAGTGGTTGAGAGGGGCAGGGCATGATGGTAGGAGATTTAATTATTACGATTGTACACATTTCTTTTTTTGGGGGACCAGGAGAACCAAGAGTGACTTGACTTCAGA